GGGAAGGAAGGCAATGACTCTTTAAAATACCAACTGTTTTGCTTTTTTGTTTTTGGAGCTTACACAAAATGAAGAGCCAAGTAAACAACGTTTGAAGAGTGGAGAGAAACTTCTCTGTAAGTACACACAAAATGAGCAAAAGTGTCAGTTTACAGTGTTTTTAAAACAATGTTTGCTACTTCAGGGGGAAAAAAAGTATCCAATTGTCTCCTTGATTTATTTTAAACAAGTTTTAAAGGTTTTCTACACAACTGCCTTTTTCGGTGTTGTTTGTAATCTCCTGGTGCAGGAAAATGTTTCATCCTTTTTCAGCCTCCTAAAATTGGGAGGCAATTCGTTTTGGTTTCATTTATCTTTGTGTGTGTGTTTGGTATCACCCATTCTCTGTAAAAACCAGAAAGGGCAAGTTCTCTTTGATAAGAGACAGCCAAGACAGTAAATAATTCTTTTTAGGAAGGTTCCATGGTTTCCATTTTTGTGTAAGGCCAGCAAAAATCTCCAACAGAAGACGACTGCCTCAATATGTTTTTCCATCCCATTTGCTCTTCAACAGACTGGATTTAAACTAAAAAGTAGCAGTATAATGATGACAGCCTGCCAGACATGAGTCAATGAGCTCGTGAATGAGTCAGAGGAATCATTAAAAGTTGTATGAAAAAATAGTCAATATCTAAATGTAAACATGCACTTGATAATGCAGGGGTTTAATTTGTCATGTTTGCCTATAAGCAAATGTTTATACCTCAAACTTCAGGGGGGTGTGTGGCTGTTTTGAAACGAGGAGAATGCTGAAATTATTCTAGTGGCATAGCTGAAATTGCCATAACACAGCATGGAGTTAGAGCAAATGGAAAAGCAATTACAATGCCCTCAGCAGAAAGCACCTGGCAGAGTCAGAGAGGACGTTGGTGAAACAAATGCACATTTTAACCAGGCTTCTGTGACAAAACATTTGGAGCTTGCACTGCCTCCAACCTGGGCTAGTTCAAGGCAGAAATGTCACTCCTGACAAAGGCTCATTTTTCCCTTTGATTAAGTCTGTCAGAAATCTCTCGTGTTCCCTTCCAAATTCCAATGAAACCTCTCAGCTGGCTGCGTGGAGGCTGCAAATGCTTCTTCTGCAGAACCCAACTGTGGGAACACATGGAAACCTGAGTGAAGCCTCCCAGTAGATGCATCTGAGGGAATCAATTTTGCAAACACTCGTTATACAGAGTAGAGCTCAGTGTTTGGCAGAGATTGAGCGTCCTCATTTTGACAAATTATTTATTTTTTAATAAAAAAGTTGATATAATGCTGAATTAAAATAGTGATGACTGATGAACCTGGTTGGTTCATAGTGAGCCATGAAGGGAACAAGCCAATGACAGGCTGACCTGGGTTGCTAATTCAGGTATAAACTAACAACATGCATTTTGCCAATACCAAATATAAAGTTGTTCATCTAAGAAGAAAATTATGGTTGAACTCAATGATCTTAAAGGTCTTTTCCAGCCTAAATGATTCTATGAAAACAGAACCACAGCACTAAGAAGTTTGGTGAGGAGCCACGAGTATGGCTGGGGTGAGAGAAAATAAATATCTTCTGTCTCTTCTCTCTGTATCTCCAGAGATCCATAGGGAGAGCCAAAATTTGACAAAGGGTTTTTAAATCTGAAGGCAAAACCAGAAGCAGATGCTATGCCTGGAAGCTGACATTGTAAAAATTCTATCTAGAAATATGGTTCACCATTTTTATTTTTTTCTAACATTAGGATAATGAACAGCAGGATAAAAGAAAAACCAAATTCCTGAAGGTTGGAATAAATATTCTTTTACTAGGAAAGTTTTGACAGAGGCTGAAGGTTGGAATGAATATTCTTTTACTAGGAAAGTTTTGACAGAGGCCAAATCATTTTAATAAATTAAATGCTCTGGCCTGATGAGAACAGTCCAGGGATGTCCTGTGCACTGTGGCACACAAAAAATCTCAAGAAATTAATGTGATGGCCTTATCCACACGATAGCTGGTGAATCTTGAATGCATGAGAAGCTTTTTGCTGGTCATTTTTGTGAAAGAACCCAACATTTGACCTCTTAGCAATGTAATGGGAAGAGGCTGAACACAGAGGAAGACTCCAAAACTTGCACTGAACTGCACAGAAGGAAGGACAAACTCTTGTCTTTGGATGCACAGTGAGGTAAAACCTCTCCCTGCATCTTCTGTTCTTACAGATGTCAAGAGCTAAAATTGGTGGATATGAAGGGAAACCACCTGGGTGGGGCAAAGCACCAAAGCACCCTCCTGAAGGAGCTCCTTGGTGCTTCAGACATTGTTTGGGGCCAAGAGGTGTGTGGAAAAAGAGGCAAAAAGGGATGAGGCTTGACTTGTAACTCTGGGACTGTATTTTCCAGCTCTTGGAGACTCCTCTAGCTCATGTTTCCAGTGTGTCTATGTTCATTTTGTTGCTTTACATCACATAATTAATTAGCCTCTTGTAAGACCTGCATTCATTCTCAGGCCATGCACCTCCTGTTAAATTATGGCCAAAGGACTTAGTTGTATTTCAGGTCAGTAAGTTATAGCTGTGTGAACACCAGAGTGATAAAAAAAAACCCTCATTTCACCAGAAAGCAGCATTTTGTCTGTGAAACACACCTTGGGTCACACTATACCCTGTATTCATCATGCAATGACGTCTCAGCCTGTACTGCTGGGGAGCTGATAATCTCCTATCATAGCTGCCAGGGGCTTTTTTTCTTGAAGACTAATGAAAATAGGATTTCCTGCAGATTTTGATCATAAAGGGATTTAGCAATGACCGCAAAATTCTGCAGAAATCTGTGTTTTGGTGTCTCAGTTGCATATTTGCAGACACAAATAGGTCTCTCACTGTCCCCTGAACAGAAGTATCTGAGGGAAACATCAGTTACATGACTTCTGCTTAGCTGTTCCTCAATGTCACAGTTGGGCTCTGAAGGGTGACTAGGAGAGGACCTTCCTCTCCAAGCACAACCTTGGTGCTGGGGCTCCTCACACCAACTTGCATTTTCTTTTTAGGGCTGGGGGACTTTTAAAGCTTTAAAGATGCATTTTAAATGAAAATAGCCCAATAGTGACACATTTTAGAGGCATCTTTTCAAGGCAAAGCTCAACAGCTTGGAGCAACTGCTGAGCAGCTCTTGCTGATCTCTCCTGGCTCGCGTGGTTGCGTGGCTGAAATGCAACAGCACAGAAATGAGAGCAGAACTGGGAGGAACTGGTGTGGTTTCTGATGCAAGAGCTGCAGTGTGCCAACCATCAGCACCTTTGAGAAGAAGCTTGCTCCTCACAACTCATTTTCCTTCTCGTCATGTGCTGGAATTAGTTGTCTGTGAAATGCTGAAATGCAGCTTCCAATAGAGAAGGTCACGAAGGGGCAACCCCCAACCCCTCAGTTTGAGAGACAGCAGTTATGTTGATTACAATAGAATCTGTGAAGTCTTAGATGCTAAGTTAGGATAGGACTTTTCAATGTATAATGAGATCTTGATTACTGTAGGGGTGAAATTTTAGAAATATTGCTAAGAAACAACAAATAATATCTGAGCTGCTTCACATATTCATTCCCCAACGTGAGCAAACCCAGTTTATAAAACTCCTACAGGTATTTCCACTTTTCCACAAAAGACAGAGCTGCTAAAGAACTTTCTTTGCCCTCCCACCTTCTGACAGTACCTGAAAATGAAAATAACCCAAAACACCACTCGTATAAAGAGGTAGAAAATCTACTTTGGGAAGTCAACAACATTGTGGTAGTAGGAGAAAAGCTGCAAAAACTCACTCAGGAGAAACCTCCTTCTAGTGTCATGGGATTCATGGGTGAAATGGATGAGGACAGAGCAGAGTTAGTTTTAAATTAGAGTTCAGGGAGCAGCATAAGTAGGGCAACACAGAGCCCAGCACGGGTCAGTTTTTCCCCTTTCTTTTCTGTAACTGTAGTGTGGACATCCTCTTGATACTGTCATAGATGAATCATAGAATCCTTTAGGTTGGAGGAGGTCTTTAAGATCATCAAGTCCAACCATCAAAACGAAAACCAGAAAATGAACCATCAGCCATGAAAACATGTTGCAGGATAACACCCTACCTGAACTCTGCTCCTCCAGCATGATCTTGTAGTACTTAAAAATCCTACCAGAAGTTAGTCTAGGATATTTAATTTCTTTTTGAAGCAGTAATATATTAAAGATGTAGAAGACACCTATTAAATTGGCTGTAAATCTTCCTCTAGTCTCAGCTCAGGGCAGGCAGCCTTAGTTGCATTAACACAGGATGCCCTTTCCTAACGTTTTCTAAGAGCCCATTTGGTAACACCCAGTTGCCACATGTGAGATGGGAAATGACCCTGAGCACCAGGACACCACTGCCCACGCCACTCAGTCTGGCAGGATCTGAGCAGGATCTCCACAGAGGCTCAGTATCCATGGTGTTTAATCCCTAACTGGGATAAAGTGTCCACGGAGAAGAAAGAGTGGACTGTAATGTGTGCAAAATTCAGCTCTTGGCAACAAATAACATTTGGAGCTTTGATAGAGCAACTTATCGTTATTATCTGGCTCTGGGAAGGGCAGATTTGTGTTGCAAATAAACTGCTGAGTGAATAGAAATCAAACTATCTCTGGTCTTCACTGCAGATGTTCAGAAAAGAGGAGGGCTAATAACACAGAACTCAAAACCGACCCAAATTATGTCATTTCTCTAAGGATCTCTTCTTCCCACATAGTACTAACCCATGCTTGGTTTTAAGGGTATGGCTAACGACATCTTCAGAGCTGGAGCAGCTTCTCCACCCAGCCTTGTCCATCATTTTTCTCTCATTTGAAGGATGTTTGGGTAAAACTACTCGTTCCACCTTGCACCAGCTGCGAGATTCCAGGGTTAGCCCTCAAGCAAGCTCCAGGTGAAAGCTCTGCTGCCTTTTCAGGTGCGCCCATCTCCTTCCTACCTTAGTCTTTGTGTTTTCTTTCATTTCTAGGCTATGTACAAGGAAGACTTCAGGAACATGACTGAGGAGAACAGGAACAGCAGCAGCTCCTCCTCTGCCTTCCCTCACACGGACACCATGAGTGCCATACTGATCACCGCCTACTCGGTCGCCCTGGCCGGAGGCGTCATCGGGTCCATCACAATGTCCTTCGTGCTGGTCAAGATGAACACTCTGTCTGTGACCACCACAGCCATCATCAACCTGGTGGTCGTCCACAGCCTCCTCCTCTTCACGGTGCCTTTCCGCCTACACTACTACGTCCACAAGACGTGGGTCTTCAAGATGGCGGCTTGCAAGCTGGTGAGCGCAATGGTGCACATCCACATGTACCTCACCTTCCTCTTCTACGTGATCACGCTGGTCATCCGCTGGCTCATCTTCTTCCAGTGGAAGGACAAGGTGGAGTTCTACAGGAAGCTGCACGCCATCGCGGCCAGCGCCGCCGTCTGGGTCTTCGTCATGGTCTTCGTGGTGCCCGTCTTGTACTTTGAGTACGGGCGCTTCGGCCCCTACGAGGACACGACGTGCTTCAAGTTCCACAAAGAGCTGCAGCAGGAGAGCGTGAAGGCCCTCAACTACACCATCATCGCAGCCGTCGCCTGCGTTACCTCTCTCCTCTTGGGCCTGCAGGTTTTCATCCTGGTCAAAGTGGTGAGGAAATTTTCCACCTCTCTCTGGTTACACCAAGAGTTCTGGGCCCAGCTGAAAAACTTCATTTTCATCTGCGTCATCATCATCTGCTTCCTGCCCTACCACCTCTTCAGGGCCTACTACATCCGCCACATGAGCGATGTCGCGCCGCTGGAAAGCTACAATGAAGTGTTTCTGAGCCTGACTGCCCTCAGCTGTCTGGACCTGCTGTCCTTCGTGCTGAGTGGAAGCCGGCTCTTCAAGCAGAAGGTGGTCATGCTCCAGAGCAGGCTGCCTTGCTGCTAGCATCCTTGGTAGCCACCTGGACCAGGAGCAGGACCTGCATCTGGCAGAGCGTGGTGCTGGGCAAGCGTGGCGAACCACTCATGGAGGGCTCTGCACATCTTCTCCCCAAAATAATGGGGTGAACCAGCTCCAGTGGCTCAGCTGGTAAACTGGAAGGTTACCTCTGGGGTTTCCTCATGGGGCTACCAAGCACCTTGGGGATGCAGCTGGAGGGGAGGGAGAAAAGGGCCCTGGGCTCTTCTGGCTTCCTGGTTTTACATCGAGGTTTGTGAAGTCAAAGGAGACCCAAAGAAAATTAGGAAAGCGTTGAGCAACACAAGTAGAAAAGCAGTTTCTTGAGGAATAAGGTGCAGAGTCTTGAAATGTAAAGATCTGTGTCATCTTTCACATACATTTCCTATCTATTCCCCATGATCTCTCCTCTCAGGAAAGCAATCATTCCTCCTGAGGAGGTCTATTCCTTTGCTGTAAAGACATGTGCTCACTCCCTAACTAAATTGCACACTTAAACTCTTTAAAAACAAACAAAGAATAAATAATTTCTTAAAATATTTTCTCTAAATCACCTTTTGGAGATGGTATCTCTGCAGCAGAGTGTTGTTCTCTTTCCCACATCATGAAAATAGCTCTTACAACAAAAATTACACATTGTTATTGAAATGAACATTGTAAGCTCAAAACAAAAACCTCTATTTTTACTTATGGAATTGTTCAATTTTGAAAATAGATGTTAAAAATGAGGATTCTGTTATTGAGACTATTCAGACAGCAGTTGCCTTCTCTTAAAAAGTAAAATATTCTATGTCTCCAAGTTAACAACCTTTATTTTTTTTCAATCTTTTGTTGATTTTGTACAATTTTGAAGTTTATAACTAATTACTCACAGGATCCTTAGCTTGAAATCAGTTCCATGAATTTAGTACCTTGTACTTGTGAAAAAAAAAATTGAATGTTACTGCTTGGATTGGAGGGATGGAAAAAGCCACACAACCTACCTGGTGTAGCTAAAGAGCTTATTATATCCCAGTGAGGCATTGTCAGTTGCTGTCTCTGAAGAAAGAATTCAATTCCACTAGAAAAAGAGGAAAAATGCAGCAAAATAATTCTGTGAAAGACATTCAGGCTTTCATAGCTAAGCTGCTTTACACCTCTCTCAGAAAAAAAGAGTGTAAATCTGAGTGCTATAACCCAAGGCAGCAATGTCTAATAGATCTTTCTTTTTCTTGCCATCTGTATGAGGTCACGTTTTCATCTAGCATCAGTGGGATAATATTTCAATCATTTGACAAAGTAGAGGTTATCAGCTGGTGGATTTCCAGCAAGTCTCTCTTGGTGATGCTGTTGAAATCCACCTTGTCATACTTCTGAATTTTTCCATTCCTTTCTACTTCCCCTTCAACATCAGACAGCAATCAAATGATGGATGGTGAATCCTGTTGTATTTGTACAATCATCTTACTTTTGGTCCCACCAAAATGACTACTTTATAGCATCCCATCTCTTCTATAGTCTTCCTTCCTTGTCTTTCTTCTGGCTTTAAATTCTTTTCTATCTCTCAGGAGCTCTGATCATGAGAAAATATTTTCAGGTCAGAGACTGCATAATGGTGTGTAACACCAAAAGTTGGAAATCACTGAAGTTCATAACACAACTGAGGTGGCCACGTGGTCCATCCTCAGCAAATAGCCTGGATCACAACAGCTGGTAAGAGAGAAATGTGATCTGAGGCAAAAAAAAAACATCCAAGAATGGGTTTGGCCCAGAAGGATCGTGCTAAAGTGGACTACCAGCCAGCTTCAACAGTGGTTGTGGATCTAAGGAGACTTTCATAACATGGAATAGCTCATGTGTGCTCTGTAGGCACTGTGTACCTTTGTAACACTATATTATAACCCTTCTCTCAGCATAAAGTTGTTAAACTAGATGACCATGTGCTGTAAAAATTAAGCAAGTCCTTCCTCCAACTATGCGGAGAAATTAAATGCGTTTCATTTATATCTGAATTTTCATTGTTTCTATTTGTATCTGAACTCAGGAAAGCTTTCAAAAAATAAAATATATGTTTCCAACCTACCTCCTGGCCATACAGCTTAACCAATCTTGTTCACAGAGGAGTTAAAAATCACAAGACCCTTTGTTTTAGAAAACAGTTTGCAATATACTGTGGGGTTTTGAACAGTTGGGGAAATAAACCAGCTCTTTTAGTTGTCTTTTAAGCTAACAAGTTTGAAAAGCTAGAGATATTTTCCATAATACCTGCCTAATGTCTTCTGTCACTTTGCAGTATAACTGGAAGTCATTTTGAGAAATGGCTAAAGATTTTAGTGATTTTACAAAAGGAGTGATTTTCTAAAATGACTGTTTTCCCCACTAGGACTGTAGCATATGTCAGAAATTGGTACAAGAGCAGTTGTACATGAAAAAAAGGGGTTGAATCAGATTTTGCTACTTGCCAAGGTTTGAAAAACTAGAGATGAGATATTTTCCTTAATACCTGCCTAATGTCTTCTGTCACTTTGCAGTATAACTGGAAGTCATTTTGAGAAATGGCTAAAGATTTTAGTGATTTTACAAAAGGAGTGATTTTCTGAAATGACTGTTTTCCCACTAGGACTGTAGCATATGTCAGAAATTGGTACAAGAGCAGTTGTACATGAAAAAAAGGGGTTGAATCAGATTTTGCTACTTGCCAAGTAATCATTCCTGAAGATGCCTCAGGACTTTGAAGTTTAAATTTAGAGAAGAACCATGCAAAAAAAGGAATAAGAAATGCTCCAAGTACATGATCCTGAAGGGTGGGGATTGCACAACTGTTGGTGAAATGAAGAAGATAAAACAGAATCCCAAGTCCAAGTCAAGACATGAACACTCTCTGCTTACAAAGTCAGCATGGAGAACCTACACTCCTGATTTTTGAACTCTAAGTGTATCTATCACTGCTTTCCCCATGGAGACACACAACATGATTGCTAATAAACCACTCACTCTT